GTCCGCTGCCCGCGCCCGCCGCTCCCTTCCCCCCCTCCCCGAATCGCGGCGACTCGGGCTCGGCCGCGCTCTGAGCCCTTTCCCCGGGCGCCACTGGGAAGCGGCTTCGGATTCCTTTAAACGTCGGCCGCTGCAACTTCTCTGGTGACCCGGGGCACGGGGAGCGATTTACAGAGCCCTGCGGCAGACTCGTTTGCGGCGACGGTTTAAATACAAAAGTGGACCGAAAGCCCCCGCGTGGAGCCGCGGTGCCCCCTCATTATGCATGCATGGAAAAGCAAACAAACAAAAACATTAGCAACGCTCCCCCGCTTGCCAGCCCCCGCGCGCTCCAAGCCGGTCGGCTGCTTTCTCCCTTTCTCCGCTCTCCTCGCTTTTGCTCGGCCCCCTCTCCCGGGCTTTCGTGATGCTATTGGTCCTGCCTGTTGTTGTTGAAACTTTTTTTACGATCCGCTGGAGTGGGTTGCAGTGGGGGAGGGCGGAGTGGTGGGCAGTTCGCTTTCAGGCTTTGGGGCTGGAAGGGGCGGTTCGGGATCCCGGAGCCGAGCTCCGCCCACCGTTAAGGAGGCGCGGACGAGCACAGGACTCACCATGGGACCTGGGCCGAAGCTGGCCTGGGTGGGCGCCAAACTTCAGCGGCTGCTGTGCTCATGCGGCCTAGCCAAGGCCCTTTCGATTTTATTTTTTGTTCTTTGCTTCTCTTTTCTGATTATTTGTTGCCATTTGATTCATTCTTCCTGAATCTCCAGCTGGGTTCAGAATTTAATCTGAAAAAGATTTCCAGTAAGAGGTGAAACAAATAGTCGAATATGCAACTTAAAATACAAGCTAATGAGCAGCACACAAAAAGAAGAAACAAAACGCAAGCTGGAGAATAGGTTAAAGCTCCCCTTGAGTGTTGCTGCGGGGTGCGGTAGAGGTGCCACAGCGCTTCTGGAAGTTAAAATATCCCTATAACCACTGCCACATCCTGTGGGCCCCCGCAGTGGCCCAGCGCTTCAGCCACTGCAGCACAGAGGCCCTCTTTGACAGAGGAAAAGCATTCACAGCCCCTTCTCCTTGCTCGCAGATCTGGCAGGTGAGAAGGCCCTGTGCCAGGCCTCCTTACCAGCTGTGAGGCAGAGCGCTCACCATTGAGATGGCTCTTTTAAAAAGAGGTGTAATATGTATAGTAATGATCAGTAACAGTTGTTGTATAAATCTCCCGAGTTGCTGAAGCAGTACAGTCAGGCGGAAGTCAAGTACAGAGGAGAGAAATAAATTGGCAGGCAAGAAGGTTTATGTTAGAGTGTAAGTTTGGGAGCCTCCCTCAGTTTAAAGTGCTGCCTTTTGCAGAGGAAGCCTTGGGGAGAGCCACCACTGTCCCAAAGCAGAGTTTGGGAACCACCTTAACTGTCGCGAAGCACAGCGCTGGCCACCAGAGGCATCAAGTGTAGGCTGCCTGTCAAAAACTGGCTCTTTCCCCTCCCTTTTCTGTGGAGCGACTATCAAGTCCATCTGTCACAAAAATTCAGGCTAAATCTTCTTTCCAGAAGTAGGGGGAGCTGGGTTCCATTGCGCCCTGAGTTGGGCATCCTTGCCTTTCCCCCACGGGCGGAGCGCAGTTTCTGCACGTGCAGAGTTTATCTGGCTGCAGATCATTGCCTGGTCAGAGCAGCATTCCTCAGACATAGCCTTAAGAAGCTGCACCTTCTCAAAACAAAAACCCTGAAACTCTAAATGGATTCAGACGGGGTAGGGGGTGAACAATGGATACATATGGGTAAGTCAGGTCTTCTTGTTCTTTATAAGCAGAAGATATTACATGATATAAAGCAATATTAAAAGTAATATAAAGTTGTATTGAAAGACATATTGGCAGGAGGCTGCATCTTGGAAGTACACCAAAAATCAAAACTATTATTTGTCTGCTCTGTTTTTCCGTTATAGATATTTGAGATGTGTTTGAGTGCTAGACTGCTAACTGACAGGTTGGTAGTAGAAACCCACTCAAGCTCTCAGAGGATTAAAAGTCCTAGCAATTGGCTTGTGTTTGTATTATGGCCAAGAAAACCCTATGGAGATTTAACTGTCACAGAGAGTCACTAGGAGTCAGAATTGGTATAGTATTTTAGTAATTTGGAGTTATAATTTCAGTTTAGGGCAAGGGTCAGATGTGTCACTATGAGTCATAGCCACTTGATGACACTTGGCAACAACAATAACAATAACAGCAATCCTAGTTTTGCCCAGGGGGCTTGAACAAATCCCTTACTCTGCAACTTTTGTCTGTCACATATAAAAAGCAAGGGCTGAATAAATAACAGCAATTAAATGCCTTAAGATGAACTAGCTTATAGCTCATGGACTTCAGGTGCTAAGAGTTGAGCTGTGATCTCAAGTTTCCTTGGTTACAGAAGTTCTAGTGTATTAGGTCCTTAGCTGCCAGCTGGTTAGAATCCATCAACTACTCCTCAGAAGAAAGATAAAGCAGCTTGCTCTGGTTGAGATTTGAGATGAAAGTATGTTAGGTTTTGATTTTAATTTAATACTCTTTGAAACAAGCCATCTGGTCATTTCTCATATTCACTCACTGCCATCAAGTCATTCCTGAATTAAAACAGCCTTTTGGGGTTCTACATCATAAAGGGAGGAAACTGCCCATTTTTTTTTTCATTTTAATGAATGTTTACAGAGACTTTGGATTTCCATTCATACATTGTTGCATACTTTCCTCCCTACCCACACCTCCTCCCAGTTAGATTTTCTCTTTTTGAAGAAAAAAAAAATCTTTCCTTGTTATACAATTGGGATGGTGGATTCGAAGGAACCACAGAAGGCTGAACTCAGCCTTTGAGTTAGCAGTATAACTCACTATGGATTACTGCAGGGCCAACTTTTAGGTTTAGTAGTTGAGTGCCAACCAAAGACCCTATGGCTAGATTGTTGCTATTGTGTGCGATTTAGTCAGAACTGACCCATTCCTGACCTTCCAGCAGGTTTTCAGTGGCAGTAAATCACAGGAGAGGAGAGTACCTTTAAAAAGTACCCCTTGATCACATAATTGCACAATTTGGTGGGTTGAGGAAGGGGTAAAGGAAGTACGAAGGATCTGGTGGGGACCTGAAAAGACAGGGTAATGATGGGTATAATCACCAATGGTGATTAATTTTATAAAACATAATGTGTGGGAATCTTGAGCTTCAATCAATATTGAAGGCTGTAGTCCTTGGCCTTCTGTAGCAAGTGTTTCATGTCCTTCTCAGTTTCAGCAAGCAGGGTTGAAGGTCAACATCAAGAAAATAAAGATTCCTACCATTGGGCAGATTGGCAGCGTCATGATAGGTTGTAAAGAGATTGAGATTTGTTCACAGCCTTAGTTTTCTTGGCGGCTCTACAATCAGCACTCTTGGTACCAGCACCCAGGAAATTAAAAAAAACAAAACAACACAACAAAAAACCACAAAACCAACCCAAACCCCCCAGCCCCCAAATTGCATTGGTAAAACCTGGTGTCAGAGACCTCTCCTAAGTTCTGAAGAGCAATGATGTCAGTCTAGAGTCTAAGGTGTGTCTGATCTAGGCCATGGTCTTTGCAATTACTTGCTATGCATCGGAAAGCTGCACAATGACTAGGGATGATAGAAGAACTGAGGCCTTTGAGCTGTGGTGTTGGAGTATTGAATATATCATGGACTGCTCAGAGAACAAACAAGTTCATCTTAGAGAGGGTGACGCCACCATGCTGCTGCTCAGAGGCAAGAATTCTGAAGCTTTGTCTGACATACTTTGGACAGGTTGCAAGGTGAGACCAGTCCTTGGAGAGGAACATCATGCTTAGGAGTGTGGAGAAAAAGTGCAAGAGAGGAAGACCCTCAACGAGATGGATTGATTCAGTGACTAGGGTGAAGGGGGTAGATGTGTCAGAGACAATAAGATTGGCACAGAATAGAGCCAGTTAGGGCTGTTGTACATAAGGTCATTATGAGTCACAGGCAAATTGACGGCACATAGCAACAACAATGTATGGGAATGATTGCATGAAAAACAATGTGAATGAAGGAGAGTGTGAAACACAATGCATATGAACTTTCTAGACAAACCAATATAATAAACATTAAAAAAATCTTTCATGTTTTAATTGTCAGAGAAAAATGGGCACTGTTCTGCACAATTCACTATCTCCAAAAACCCACTGGAAGATCAGTTATGAGTTGGTTCTGACTTGATGGATTGAAGCTCTGCATTTTATATGCTTGTAAGAACCAATGTAACTATTCATTCTCATCTTTAGGGAAATGTCTGTTGAATCTTTTTAGAATAGTGAGTCTCCAGCAATGTACATCAGAATCATCTGAGAGATTGTTAAAACTCTCACCTCCAAAAGTTCTAATTCAGTAGGACTGGTGGGGTCCTGAGAATCTGGCTTTCTAGCATGTTTCCAGGGCATTCCTCCCACTGCTACCTCTCCTCTCCCCCCCTTTCTTTTTTTATATTTCATTCATTCATTCATCCATTATTGCACACTTTACCCTTCTCCTTCCCT